TTTTCATCCCGTACCTCGCCCTCGATTCCAATAATACTCGACGGAGTAAAAGTAATTTTTACGAACTTCCCTTGAGATTTAACATGGATGGTCTACCATACCACTACCTCTAAGGTTTGCAGTCGTCCTCCATCCAAAATAACCTACTTCCTTGAGGCAGTCAACACCTGATAAAATTTGGCGTGATAACATTAGTCAAATATGTACATTAGTGACATTTATCATTACAAACCTGCTGTGCATAAGTTGTGTTATGTTTACTACATACTACACAAAAGAAATTGACTTTCTGATGACTACTTGTTTATATTTCATATCTTATAGAAAGACAAGAAAAGTAAGTAAACTTGAAAATGACAGAAAAATAAGCATATATTTTCAGCTCTTCATGGAAGCGGGTTCTTCAACGAAACAAAGCAAAATTCCCCAAGTTTGAAAAGAAAAAGTTTACTTCTTACAGCTAACAAACGTACAATAAAAAATTAATTTCATCATAATCAACTAAAAAACTGGTGCTATTCAGTTTGAGTGTCAGAGTCGCTCATCCGTGATGTCTTCAATACGTTGATACAGGAAGATGTGGGCCATCTCTTTTGGAGGCTTCTCAGACAGCGCTACCTTCTCATCGTTGAATATCACCCAATGGTTATCCTTAAGCAGGTGACACACGTAATGGCCGCTATGCACGGACGAGCCCATATGGCTGATGAAGCCCCTCAGGCGATAGCGACCTGGACCATCGTTGCATTTTACATTTTCGGCGTCATCCGACATACTGCCTTCTGCCGGAAGCGCAGGAGTCGAATGGAGGTCGTCACTGAGCAAGAACTGAATAGCCGACGAAGGGTCGTTGGCCGCTTTGAATAACGCCTTCTTAGAATCGACTTCATTGAAACCCATCTCTATCAATTGCCCGAGCGCCTGAGAACTCGCTTCGAAATGCTTCAACGAATCGTCAGCCGTCGTAAAGACCTTTTCTCCGGGCTGAGGACCTTTGGCAGCCATGTCTGACAGGTCCAACTCGTCAGGTACATCCAACGTCACGTCCAGCTTCTCAGCTTGCATATTTTCGGAAATCGTGTACTTTTTCACCTATGACAAGAAAAAAAAGTTACGGTAACTGGCTGTTAACAATGAATTAAAACACTAACATGAATCCACAGCCAATCAGGAAACGTAGAAAAGTGATATTCCTTCTGCAGAACCGTGTTTTCGTTAGTAAATGGGCTTCGTGATTCAGTGATAAACTCCGGCTCAGCGAAAGCGTGTATACACGCCAGTAAGGGTACTTTCAGACGGACCGCCTGCTCAGGGGGCACAGTCCTGCCAGCTGCCTTTTCGTTTTCACATCGACTCATATAGATTCGATGTTCTTCAAGATTGACGGCCTCATCCCTCGGAACAGGCACTGATAGTATGGTCTCAGGACGAGTTTTGTAGGAAACAATACCGCTGACGGTGCAGCACGTACGTTCTTCGACTTTGAATCGCCATGAAGTGACCAGGTCATCGCTGGAGATCGCTTTTAGCACCGAATGGTTTACCTCGAGTTTTTCGAACAGATATAGCATAAATTCTTCAACATCTTGTTGACGCTTGGAGCTAAATTCGGCGTTGCCACGTGTTACGTTAGACCAGAACGAAAAAGGGCTAATTCCTTGACCTAAACAGTTACAGATTTACATAAGGTTACAGAGTTCAGCTTACCGCACTAACCCTTGGAAGTGTCATCTAACGGCTTCGACGAATAATCCCCGGACTGCAGACCAGAGATTACTTTTGCCATTTGGACATTGAAATCGTCGACCGGAGAGCCGGAACAGTGCTCGAAAATCGCGTCCGCGTGCTTCGCGTAAATTTCGACCATGCCTGGCACCAAAGTCAGTGTCTGCAGCGCCGTGTTCATGTAGCACGTATTACCAAGGTTGATCATGCCTGTGTAGCCGGGACCATATATAGGCACCAGTTTCTGGCCTTCTTCCTGAATCGTACTATACTCCCAACGTCGGCTGAGATCTATCTCCATTTCCACCATCGACATTTCTGTTTTCTTCATCTCCTTCATCGCTATACCAAAATGAGCCAAGTGTTTCTCCAAGTCCGGATCTAGCACCTAGCGTACAAAACGATGCAATGGAAAAACCTGATCACCACGACACAATTACGCTTATGTAAAACATACATCACTGTCTTGAACCTCCTAAAATTTGAGTCAATACTATGCGCTCTTTATCCTGCCTTTGTTGACTTCGAAATTGTACTCGATTCTGCATATTCTCTGAAGTCTATGGAATTTAATGTAGAACACGGGACCAAGCAGGACTTTCTGAACGTGCCAAGGATTTATGGATAAGTTCGGTTTTAAAAAGGGAAAGTTTGTACCCATTAAGATATTACTCTCGCACATTTTCAATATTTGGCGCCATTTATAGCTCCATTTTCTGAGTGTGGCAATGATACCTGTCTCTGAAATCAGTCAAGAGTATCACGATGTTGCTGGTTCGATAAGATTGTAGCTACAGCCAACCCATTATCATAATGTGTAGTCTCTAATTTCTTTCTTACAAAGTGATATTCACTGATTATCCTCGAACGCACGAACGAAACGACAAGGGCTCGAATCCAGGATCTCTTGACTGTGAGTAAAATCATATGCGAATGAGCAAACGCCGGTCTCGCAATAAAGGAGGCCTGTGATATGGTGGTTGAGTTTTTATACAATTTGCGAAATTAATATGCAAATGCTCAGTATGAAATCCTTGGTGATATTAGCCGTGCTCTGCTAAACCTAAATTTGCCATCCCGTCGACTAAAATCGATCAGCTAATGAAGAAATGGTATGCAGAACTGAACAACTAACATGTTATTATCCTAGTGTTATTCACCAGGATTCTGGCTAAAAATTTAGGGATGCATCATCCGAAACAACCCATAGGAAAACACAGCAAACGTTTTACGTCAAGCTACGCAAATCGTAATCCTCTTAACAAGGCCAGCGAGTCTTATTACGATCAGCGGAAGAAGCGGACAGTGGCTTATGGATTATGTCTGGGAATCTAAAAAATAACTTCCTTTGCGCCCTTTCGTTGACAAAGATCATGAAACCGGTCTACTGTACATTTTAAAAGTAATGTTTTCTGTACTGCAAATGAATGATCACGCTTTTCCCTGGCAAACGTGGCACCCTTGTGACTTGTGAGCCGCTGTAAACCTGAGATTACCGTATCTTGCATGTCTTTGAGCAAATTGTCAGAAAGCTAGAGAAATGACGATTTACAAAAACAAAACAGGATTTCACTTGTATAAAACACGGTAGAGACCAAATATAGCTTGACTGTGCTGAACACCTGACAATCGCGCCTCGATATATTTTCTGGGACCTGAACAACCTAAACTATTGGAGAAACCTCTTGATGCTGCTATCCAACGTTCCGAACAGAATCTTTTAGGATGAGAGAGTAGCACAGAGTCTTTTAGTAACGGCAGAGTGGATATATGCTATCGACAATCTTATCGCAAGTGTTTTTTAATCTTACACAGTAAGTCATGACATCCTATCCAACAACACCGTAAAATGCGCATATTTACATAATACAGATACCATTCAACATATCGTAAGTCGGATATAATAAGATATAATAAATAAGTAAATGAATAACTGTTGCCATTTAATAAAAAAATAAACGAATGATTACATTAACTAATTAAATAGCAATAATAGAAAACTAAACATTAATTGCTTGAAGAGAATGCTTTTCAAGAGACTATAGCGACAGGGTCGTCAATTTCTTTCTCTTCTGATGATTTGCGTTACCGAGTATAGTCT